GCTGACTCTGGGGGTGCTGCACGCGTGGGTGCTGAGCCTGGGGGTGCTGAGTCTGGGGGTGCTGCGACTGGGGGTGCTGAGCCTGGGGGTGCTGAGCCTGGGGGTGCTACGACTGGGGGTGCTGAGCCTGGGGGTCCTTCGCCTGGGGGTGCTGCGTCTGGAGCTGCTGAGCCTGGGGGTGCTGAGTCTGGAGCTACTGAGCCTGGGGGTGCGGAGCCCGCGGCCGCTGGACCTGCTCGTGTGGCGTCTGGCGGTGCTGGGCCTGGTGGTTCTCCGGGTGCTTCGTCTCGGCGGGAGCCACTCTCTCCACAGGAGCTGCGCGAGTGGTTTGCCCGGCGCTCGAGGCGTACTACTGGAGCTGGTGCTTCTTCGGCTGCTGAGGGTGCTGGTGCCGCCGGTCTCGGAGGTGCTAGTCCTGCGAGTGCTACTGGAGTCGGAGCTGCTGAGGGTGTTGGCGCTGAGGCTACTGCTGTCAGTCCTGACGGCGGTCCTACTGCGGGTGCTGCTGGTGCTGCTGGAGGTACTGGAGCTGGAGGTGCTGTTGACGCTGGTGCTGCCGCTGGGGGTGCTGGTGCTGTCCCTGCTGTGTCTGAAGTCGCCGCGCGGCCTCGGCCGTACTTTGTTCCGCTCCTTCAGCAGGTTCTTGGTCTTCCTCCTCCCTTAGAGTGTCCGCCGCCTGTCTAGTCGCAGTCACAGTTACCGCCGGCCTCCCCACTGCCTTCTCCTTCTCCGTATACTGGTCCTACTGGAGGTCTTGCTGAGCGTCGTGAGCCCGCGTCTCGTCCTGCGTCGCCTGTTCGTGCTGCTCGCACTAGTGGTCGCAGTTCGCAACAGCGTCCTCCTCCTGTCCCTGGCACGCACCGGATGTCTCTGCGTCCGTCCACTGCTCCTCTGCGTGCCCCTTTGCCCTCTCCTCCTGAGTCCTCTCTTCCTGCGCTTGCTGACCCTGAGTCGGACTCTCTTCGTGCTGCCAGTCCTACTGTCACGCGTCTCCTTGCTACTGTCGTCACTGACCCCTCCTTTGAGTCCACTGCTGCGTCTGCTCTTGTTGCTGAGCTCGTCGACTTTGCTGCTCGCTGTCGCCTAGACTACGCTGCTAGTCTTGTTGATGAGTCTGTGTCTATCTGTCCTCCGTCCGTCGAGGGTGAGTGTGCTCTTGGCACGGACGTCCTTGAGGACAGGCAGGAGGAGTTCCAGTGTCTGGCTGCTGCTTCACCTCATCTCGCGTCCGTACTACTTACCCCTGAGGGAGACCCGGATGCACTAGACATCCCGACTCCGCGCTCTTACGTGGAGGCCGTAGAGGGTCCCTACTCCTCTCAGTGGCAGGCAGCTATGGATGCAGAGATGGCTTCCTGGAAGTCCACAGGCACCTACGTTGACGCGGTTCCCCCTCCTGGGGCGAACATCGTCAGTGGCCTGTGGATCTTCAGGGTGAAGCGGCCGCCGGGCTCTCCACCTGTCTTCAAGGCGCGGTACGTGGCTCGTGGCTTCATACAGCGGCAGGGAGTTGACTACTTTCACACCTTCTCTCTCACCCCGAAGATGACCACTCTTCGGGTGCTGCTACACGTAGCTGCTCAGCGTGACTACGAGCTTCACTCCCTTGACTTCAGCACTGCTTTCCTGCAAGGTAGCCTGCACGAGGAGATCTGGTTGCGCCGTCCACCTGGCTTCACTGGGACTTTCCCTCCTGGCACCCAGTGGAGCCTCCGACGGCCAGTCTACGGTCTCCGCCAGGCACCGCACGAGTGGCACGACACACTGAGGACTACGCTTGCGGCTCTTGGGTTTGCTCCCTCTACTGCTGACCCGTCGCTGTTTCTACGCACCGACACCTCCTGCCGCCGTTCTACATCCTCGTGTACGTCGACGACTTGGTCTTTGCCACAGCTGACACTGCTGGACTCGCCCACGTGAAGTCCGAGCTGCAGAAGAGACACACGTGCACAGATCTGGGTGAACTGCGCAGCTACCTTGGCTTGCAGATCACCCGGGACAGAGCACGCCGCACCATTACCCTGACTCAGTCACACATGGTGCAGCAGGTCCTTCAGCGCTTCGGCTTCACGTACTCCTCGCCTCAGGCCACTCCTCTGTCTACTCGCCACTCGCTCTCAGCTCTGCCTTCGGATGAGTCCGTAGAGTCGAGTGGCCCGTACCCAGAGCTTGTTGGCTGCCTCATGTACCTGATGACCTGCACACGACCTGACCTTGCATACCCTCTTAGCATTCTTGCACGCTATGTTGCTCCTGGGAGACACAGACCAGAGCACATGGCTGCAGCGAAGAGGGTGTTGCGCTACTTGTGCAGTACGTCGGGCATGGGGCTAGTGCTTGGAGGGCGGAGTCCAGTGGTCCTCACTGGGCACGCGGACGCTTCTTGGGCAGACGACCAGGCTACGCAGCGGTTGTCACAGGGTTACACCTTCAGCCTTGGTTCCGACTCTGTTTCGTGGCGGGCTACTCGCTCGTCTTCTGTTCTCGGCTCCAGTTGTGAGGCTGAGATCTACGCCGGGGCCATGGCTGCACAGGAGCTTCGCTGGCTTACCTACCTGCTGACTGACCTCGGAGAGCCGCCTCGTTCTCCTCCGATGCTGTACGTAGACAACAAGGCCATGCTAGCCTTGTGTCGGGAGCAGCGCCTGGAGCACAGAACGAAGCACATTGCTCTCCGCTACTTTCTTGCTCGTGAGTTGCAGCAGCGTGGTCAGTTGCGACTTGCGTACGTGGCCTCTGAGGCCAACACTGCTGATGTTTTCACCAAGGCACTTCCGCCTTGTGATCATCAGCGCTTCTGCACTCAGCTGGGTCTTGTGCTTGTCTTGCCTCACTTGCTCACCCCTTGACCTTGCTTGTACTCTTACATATATATATATACCTGCTCTTGCTTGTTTAGCCTTATATATATGTGTGTACTCCTGCATGTGATCTGGCCTTGTGGCCTTGACCTTGTGCTCGGACTGTGTGGTGACGTTGTGATCCACCCTGAGCTTTGTCTGCTTTGCTTGACTGGTCTTGTGACCCCTTGTTCTCCCCCACTTTGCCTATGGGGGTGTGTCAAATCATCATATTGTGTAGGCTATAGTGGGGTAGCCTATATGGGGTACACATTTCTAGGGTTGCATATTTGTATCACTTCCATTCCTTAGTCATTCATTCCTCGTTCACATCTTCTCAAGCGTAACAAAAACGTTCATCGTGAACAACCACGCCTGAACGGTAGGTCCACCCCGTTGACTCGAGTCAAAACATGGCGGACGCTGCGTCTTCAGCGACATCGGTGATGGCAGTGTTGAATTGTTGGTCGGTGCCGAAATCGTGACGTGAGGCTGGTTCCTGGCCGCATTCGTCGCTTCGGGGTGTGTCGTGCCGTGGTCATCGTCCCTGTCGTGGCGGACGACGCCATCATTGGCCGCGCTCGCGGGTTGCCCCACACTTCCATGCTGCGATGCCAGTGGTGCGGGATGTTCCGGAGTGCTAGGTGCTTGTGACTGTTCTTGTTGTGCTCGTGCGATGTCATTTTGCAGAGACGTACGTTCCGCCGTCAGCGCCGCGATTTCTTTAGTGTTCTCGTGCAGCTGGCGCAACAATTCATTCAGACGGTCCTGAGTGAGCGTAGTGGCGTCGTTATGTTCGGCCATCGTGAAGGGTGTCGGCTCAGCTTAGTCTAGGCGCAGTCGTGGCTGCACGCGTTTCCGAGAGAACGCGGGAACAGCGGCTCCTAGGTGGTAAGGGGCGTGAGTCCCTTTGAATGAAAGATCAAAAGTTGATTTCCTGGGGTGCGGAGATGCGCGGTCCAAAAAGAAAGCGGCTCTGATATCCAAGTGTTACGGGTGCAATGGATCGAGGTAGCGAGGATTGCACTAAGTTGTCAAACGAGTACAAAATGTGAGCGAAGGCATGAGCGAACATTTATGCGCAAAACATGCAAACGGTAACGCGGTGCGTGCGAGCTAGCTAGTGCTACGGTGGCAGCGAGTTTCGGGCTAGTCCCGAAGCGTAGGCCGACTCGGCCGGGCCAGCAGTGCGAGGTTTGGTGAAACAGTGCACGCGGAGTTGGCGAAGCCCCGTTAGCAGTAACGGGCGAACAACGATAAGGAATGGCGAGAAAATTCCTTACACTGCAGAAGGACTGGTTGCCACGTTTACATCCTCGCTATAAACCGCCGCGATGGATACATCGCACGGAACCAAACCGAACCCTTCAAAATGTCACTAATGGATTGAACAGGGAAGATCTTTTCGCGCCAACGGCGAACATCCCAGAGCGCGAACGGCGAAGGTCCCTAAGCCGGCTGTTCCTTTCATCCCGTCCTGTCCTACCCTCCTTTCACTTCACTTTCCTCGGACTTACTTCCCCAGATATTTAACAATTATCACTCGCTAGCATCACTGTAGCAGCCATAACACACCAACAGCATTAGCATTTCCTGTAACTGCTTCCGCTCTTACCGCTCCAGCCACAGCCGTCCAGGATTACTATCTGGCGACTAAGTTGCTTGCCGTCGCGACACCGTCTATTTATCTTATCGTGCTCCTTATTCTGTCTTCTCGTTCACAACCAGACCGCCCTCAGGATTGCTCAAATGTGTGTCTCGTTCTGCACACAGTTCTTGCCATTTCGTAACCTAACTTAACTAAGTTCTAGTTGGTGGAGGAAAAAGACCGTTCCGACTGTCTGGTTCGGGCTTTCGGGTTCAGATATCGTGGTTCTGACGTTCAAGTTGCGACGAAAGGTTCCAACTTCTAGTACCTTTGGACAACTCGTGTGTAGCGCCGCAAGTGCTGCGTGCACTCAGGCTGCCATTTTGCGTGACTGCTACCGCTGACTTCGCGCGACTAATCGAGTGCTAAACTATACCCAAGCTAGTGTTCGTGTAAACGCGTGATACCCTTCCCGCCACCGTCATCAAGCTCGCTCGTTAACCACTCCGCCGTCGTCAGCGTGCGGCGCGTGCGCTCAATCTAATCCGCCGTCGTCGCCGTCGTGCGCCGCGATGGCGTCCGCCATGCCCAAGTCGCTCTCCGCGCGCCGCGTGTGGTTCGACCAGTTCGTCTCGCCGGGTCGCGTGCTCACCGCGTCCGTCCTCGGACGACCAACAGGTAAGCACGCGTCCTCGGACGACCAACAGGTAAGCACGCGTCCTCGGACGACCAACAGGTAAGCACGCGTCCTCGGACGACCAACAGGTAAGCACGCGTCCTCGGACGACCAACAGGTAAGCACGCGTGCTCGGACGACCAACAGGTAAGCACGCGTCCTCGGACGACCAACAGGTAAGCACGCGTCCTCGGACGACCAACAGGTAAGCACGCGTCCTCGGACGACCAACTGGTAAGCACGCGTGCTCGGACGACCAACAGGTAAGCACGCGTCCTCGGACGACCAACAGGTAAGCACGCGTCCTCGGACGACCAACAGGTAAGCACGCGTCCTCGGACGACCAACAGGTAAGCACGCGTCCTCGGACGACCAACAGGTAAGCACGCGTCCTCGGACGACCAACAGGTAAGCACGCGTCCTCGGACGACCAACAGGTAAGCACGCGTCCTCGGACGACCAACAGGTAAGCACGCGTGCTCGGACGACCAACAGGTAAGCACACGTGCTCGGACGACCAACAGGTAAGCACGCGTCCTCGGACGACCAACAGGTAAGCACGCGTCCTCGGACGACCAACAGGTAAGCACGCGTCCTCGGACGACCAACAGGTAAGCACGCATCCTCGGACGACCAACAGGTGACTGCTCTGATCCCCCAATCTCTCGTCTCACTTGTTGGTGAAATCGTACGGCTGTGGTTCTTGGTGGAATCGTATGGTGGCGATTTCATACAGAACTTTTTCTCGTTTTTCGTACCATCGTACGGTCCGTACACTTCCTCTCTCATCCTCCAACGTTCTTCGCGCCGCGTCCTCCCCATCCGCTCAATCTTCTCACTCTTGCGTCCCTCTAATTCCTCCTTCCCCCCAAATTCCACGGCAGAAAAACTCGAATCGCTGTACAAAATCGGCGGGAAACTAGGTCAGGGCCAATTCGGCGTTACATATCTATGCACGGAGCTCGCGACGGGCAAAGAGTACGCGTGCAAGACAATCGCGAAGAAGAAACTGATCACTGCGGAGGACGTGGCAGACGTGAAACGCGAGGTGGCCATCATGCACCACCTGGCGGGCCACAAGAACATCGTGTGTATCAAGGGCGCGTACGAAGACGCCTACGCGGTTCATATCGTCATGGAGTTGTGCTCGGGAGGGGAGCTGTTCGACCGGATCATCAAGAGGGGGTACTTCAGGTGCGTTGGGAACTTACAGTTAGGGGACGAGGAGCCAAGGGAGGGATACGGGGAGGAAGCGTACGCGAGTCAAGTTGTAACGCAGAGTTTTCCAGAAGTTCAGTGCTCGATCTATGCATTACGTGGCAGTTCTTCTTCGTCCTCCACTCTTCTCTTGCCTCCCCTCTACCCCTGTCCCCCTTCACCCTTTCGCGCCCACCCCAACGTTCAACCCTATTCCTCCCTCCCGCTCCTCTCCGTCCTTGTCAACAACGTCACCCCCATCAGTGAGCGGCAGGCGGCCACGTCGATTCGCACAATAGCACGGATAGTGGAGACGTGCCACTCGCTGGGCGTGGTTCACCGCGACTTAAAGCCCGAGAACTTCCTCCTCGCAGACAGGACGGAGAATGCCGACCTTAAGGCCACTGACTTTGGCCTCTCAACCTTCTTCAAGCCAGGTGTGTGGCTAGGTCATGAGGTGTGTGGCTAGGTCATGAGGTGTGTGGCTAGGTCATGAGGTGTGTGGCTAGGTCATGAGGTGTGTGGCTAGGTCATGAGGTGTGTGGCTAGGTCATGAGGTGTGTGGCTAGGTCATGAGGTGTGTGGCTAGGTCATGAGATGTGTGGCTAGGTCATGAGATGTGTGGCTAGGTCATGAGATGTGTGGCTAGGTCATGAGATGTGTGGCTAGGTCATGAGATGTGTGGCTAGGTCATGAGATGTGTGCTTTTGGCAAATCAGATCATGAGATGTGTCCATCCATCCATCCATCCATCCATCCATCCATCCATCCATCCATCCATCCATCCATCCATCCATCCATCCATCCATCCATCCATCCATCCATCCATCCATCCATCCATCCATCCATCCATCCATCCATCCATCCATCTATCCATCCATCCATCCATTCAGGCCCCCCACCAGGCGAGTTCCTATCGGACGTGGTGGGCAGCCCCTACTACGTGGCACCGGAGGTGTTGAGGCGGCGCTACAGCAGCAAGGCACCATGCATCCTCTCCCCTCTCGTCCACTCATCACACATCCCTCCCTCCCTCCCTCCGCCCACCAGGCGAGTTCCTATCGGACGTGGTGGGCAGCCCATACTACGTGGCACCGGAGGTGTTGAGGCGGCGCTACAGCAAGGAGGCGGACATCTGGAGCATGGGGGTCATCCTCTACATCCTGCTCTCGGGAGTGCCGCCATTCTGGGCTGGTAAGCAGGGTGAATGACTTTCGAGACGTCTCAAAAGCAGGGTGAATGACTTTCGAGACGTCTCAAAAGCAAGGTGAATGCGTCCTTCTGGGCAGGTGAGCGGGATGACGGTGTAACACCCAGCATGCTCCTTCACTCCCACAGCGCTGCAGCAAGGAGGCGGACATCTGGAGCATGGGCGTCATTCTCTACATCCTGCTGTCGGGAGTGCCGCCATTCTGGGCTGGTAAGAGAGGGGGTGAAGGAAATGCATTTTTCTGGGTTGGTGCGAGAAAAGGCATGCACTGCCTTCCCTCCTCCCCTCCTCCCCTCCTCTCCCTCTCTTTCTTCCCTTCCCTCCTCGCCTCTCCCCCCTGCATCCCTCCCTTCCCCACATCCTCCCTCTACCCTTGTTACTCCCCCTGTGCTTCCTCCCTGCCTCTCTCTCTCACCAGACACGGAGCAGGGCATATTAGAGGTGGTGCTGACTGGGCAGATGAGCTCCCGGTCCTCTAAAAGCCCTCTCATTCACTCTGCCTCCTCACTCACTCGCCCTTGTCACCCTCCCTACACACGCCCTACGCTACACGGAGCAGGGAATATTTGAGGCGGTGTTGAGGGGGGATCTCAACTCCTGGACCTTGCAGAACCCTCCCGTTCACCCTCCCTGCTGCTCATTCGCCCCTGTTCCTCCACTCTCACATTCCCGTGCGTACTCCCCCTTCCAACCCCCCCACTCACCAGACACGGAGCAGGGCATAATCAAGGCGGTGCTGAGGGGGGGAACCTCAACCGCTCCTCTGCTCCTTGCCGTCCTCTCCCCTCTTCTGAAAACTCACCAGACACGGAGCAGGGCATATTTGAGGCGGTGCTGAGGGGAACCTCAACGTTGCAACGCCACTCCACCGCTCCACCTCTCATAATCTCCTCCATCTTTCCAAGGTGACTTTTGAGTCCACTCAAAAGTCACAACGCCACTCCCCGCTCCACCGCTCATAATCCCCTCCATCTTTCCGCCACCCTCACTTTCCCTCCCCTGCTGCCACCCCTCCCCAACAGACACGGAGCAGGGGATATTAGAGGCAGTGTTGAGGGGGAACATGAACTTTGCGGTGCAGCCGTGGCCGTCCATCAGTGACGATGCAAAGGATCCCCACACCCTTGACCCCTTTCCTTCCCTCCTCTCCCGCTTGCCCCCTGCGTCCCCCATCCCTCCAATCCTTCCTCTCCCCCCGTTACCCCCCCTGTTCCCCCTGCCGCGTGCCCCAACAGACACGGAGCAGGGGATATTTGAGGCGGTGCTGAGGGGGAACATGAACTTTGCGGTGCAGCCGTGGCCGTCCATCAGTGACGATGCAAAGGACCTCATCCGCCGCATGTGCTGCCTCGACCCCGCCCGCCGCCTCACCGCCTACCAAGTCCTCTGTGAGTCTCCTGCTGTTGCTGCTGTTGGTGTTGCTGCTGCTGCTGCTGCTGCTGCTGCTGCCGCCGCCGCCGCCGCCGCCGCCGCCGCCACCACCCTGGCTCCCGCTGCCTAACCTCCTACCACCAAGTGCTCTGTGAGTGAGTGGTTTGTTCCTGCTGCTGCTGCTGCTGCCGCTGCCGCCGCCCCTGCTCCCGCTGCCTAACCTCCTACCACCAAGTGCTCTGTGAGTGAGTGGTTTGTTCCTGCTGCTGCTGTTTTGAGGCGCCTCAAAACCCACCGCCTCATCTTATCGGCTACCAAGTGCTCTGTTCGTCACTCGCACCTGCTCCTGCTGCTGCTGCCCCTGATGCTGCTACCACATACCAAGTGCTTTATCAGTCACTTGCTCTGCTGCCCCTCCTCCTTGCTCCTTCCCCCCGGTTCCAGCCATCGTGGGTCACCCAGGGTGCAGGGGCACCTGCTTTTGAGTCGACTCAAAAGCATCGTGGGTCAGAGGCACCCAGCGTGCAGTGGCACCTGACCTGCCGGCGCCGGGCATCATGTCTCACTGCTGCCCTTCGAACAATGAGTCAAGGTCACCCAGGGTGCAGGGGCACCTGACCTGCCGGCGCCGGGCATCATGTCTCACTGCTGCCCTTCGAACAATGAGTCAAGGTCACCCAGGGTGCAGGGGCACCTGACCTGCCGGCGCCGGGCATCATGTCTCACTGCTGCCCTTCGAACAATGAGTCAAGGTCACCCAGGGTGCAGGGGCACCTGACCTGCCGGCGCCGGGCATCATGTCTCACTGCTGCCCTTCGAACAATGAGTCAAGGTCACCCAGGGTGCAGGGGCACCTGACCTGCCAGCGCCGGGCATCATGTCTCACTGCTGCCCTTCGAACAATGAGTCAAGGTCACCCAGGGTGCAGGGGCACCTGACCTGTCGGCGCCGGGCATCATGTCTCACCTCTGATATCCTTCATTTCCCCATTCCCCCTCACTCTGCCTGCCTCCCACTCCCTCCTTCGTTCTTCCCCCTCACCCTGCCTGCCTTTCAAACCACCCGTGTGTGGCTCAGGGTGGAGTGGCATCCGACCAACCTCTTGACTGCGGGGTCCTGTCTCACCTCTTGACTGCGGGGTCCTGTCTCACCTCTTGACTGCGGGGTCCTGTCTCACCTCACCAATTCTCTATCTTCCCCTTGCCATGCCCCACTCCTTTCTTCCCCTTGCCATGCCCCACTCCTTTCTTCCCCTTGGCATGCCCCACTCCTTTCTTCCCCTTGCCATGCCCCACTCCTTTCTTCCCCTTGCCGTGCGCCACTCCTTTCTTCCCCTTGCCATGCCCCACTCCTTTCTTCCCCTTGCCCTGCCCCACTCCTTTCTTCCCCTTGCCGTGCCCCACTCCTTTCTTCCCCTTGCCGTGCCCCACTCCTTTCTTCCCCTTGCCGTGCCCCACTCCTTTCTTGCCCTTGCCGTGCCCCACTCCTTTCTTCCCCTTGCCATGCCCCACTCCTTTCTTCCCCTTGCCGTGCCCCACTCCTTTCTTCCCCTTGCCGTGCCCCACTCCTTTCTTCCCCTTGCCGTGCCCCACTCCTTTCTTCCCCTTGCCGTGCCCCACTCCTTTCTTCCCCTTGCCGTGCCCCACTCCTTTCTTGCCCTTGCCGTGCCCCACTCCTTTCTTCCCCTTGCCATGCCCCACTCCTTTCTTCCCCTTGCCGTGCCCCACTCCTTTCTTCCCCTTGCCGTGCCCCACTCCTTTCTTCCCCTTGCCGTGCCCCACTCCTTTCTTCCCCTTGCCATGCCCCACTCCTTTCTTCCCCTTGCCATGCCCCACTCCTTTCTTCCCCTTGCCGTGCCCCACTCCTTTCTTCCCCTTGCCGTGCCCCACTCCTTTCTTCCCCTTGCCGTGCCCCACTCCTTTCTTCCCCTTGCCGTGCCCCACTCCTTTCTTCCCCTTGCCGTGCCCCACTCCTTTCTTCCCCTTGCCGTGCCCCACTCCTTTCTTCCCCTTGCCATGCCCCACTCCTTTCTTCCCCTTGCCGTGCCCCACTCCTTTCTTCCCCTTGCCGTGCCCCACTCCTTTCTTCCCCTTGCCGTGCCCCACTCCTTTCTTCCCCTTGCCGTGCCCCACTCCTTTCTTCCCCTTGCCGTGCCCCACTCCTTTCTTCCCCTTTCCATGCCCCACTCCTTTCTTCCCCTTGCCGTGCCCCACTCCTTTCTTCCCCTTGCCGTGCCCCACTCCTTTCTTCCCCTTGCCGTGCCCCACTCCTTTCTTCCCCTTGCCGTGCCCCACTCCTTTCTTCCCCTTGCCGTGCCCCACTCCTTTCTTCCCCTTGCCATGCCCCACTCCTTTCTTCCCCTTGCCGTGCCCCACTCCTATGTTCAGAAAGACGCGTCCTGCGTCCTGGACGCATGCGTCCAGACGCATGCGTCCAGACGCAGGACGCTGACCCTTGACCTGTAAGACGCACCAAAAGACGCAAGCCCGGGCAGGGCAAAAAAAACCCCCGGGCAGGCCAAAAAAATTGTATAGGGCTTGGGAGAGGGGGGGGGGGGGTGTCATACCACAAAATTTCCCCAACCACAAAATTTTCAACACTCTTAGATGCGGTGGAAGAAGAAGGAATGCTCGAGGAAGCCATAGCGGAGTTTAGGTGGTAAGCTAAGCTAAGACCTAAAACCTCTATGGGTTTACGAAAGAGAATTGGTGAGGGGAAAATGAGAAGCCACAAAAGGTTGCCATGCTAAATGTGCTTGGTGGTGGTGGGCTACAAAGGTTGGGATTCGTAGATGCTAAGTGGTTGAGAGGTTTGAGTGATTCAATTTTGGTTTAGTTGTTAGGGAATGTTAGGGGGGCTGGTTTTGAATGGCGAATTGGGCTTGGGATGGGGAAATTTCGCGATTTCGACATTCGCGTCGAAATCGCGAATGCCAAAATCGCAATCGATTTTTTTTTCGGGCTGCCCGAAAAAATTTTCGACGTGCGTCCTGCGTCTGGACGCGCGTCCTGCGTCCTAGCGTCCGGACGCTGCGTCCGGACGCAGGACGCAGCGTCCTAGCTGCGTCTTTCCGAACATAGCCCCACTCCTTTCTTCCCCTTGCCGTGCCCCACTCCTTTCTTCCCCTTGCCGTGCCCCACTCCTTTCTTCCCCTTGCCGTGCCCCACTCCTTTCTTCCCCTTGCCGTGCCCCACTCCTTTCTTCCCCTTTCCATGCCCCACTCCTTTCTTCCCCTTGCCGTGCCCCACTCCTTTCTTCCCCTTGCCGTGCCCCACTCCTTTCTTCCCCTTGCCGTGCCCCACTCCTTTCTTCCCCTTGCCATGCCCCACTCCTTTCTTCCCCTTGCCGTGCACCACTCCTTTCTTCCCCTTGCCGTGCCCCACTCCTTTCTTCCCCTTGCCGTACCCCACTCCTTTCTTCCCCTTGCCGTGCCCCACTCCTTTCTTCCCCTTGCCGTGCCCCACTCCTTTCTTCCCCTTGCCGTGCCCCACTCCTTTCTTCCCCTTGCCTTGCCCCACTCCTTTCTTCCCCTTGCCGTGCCCCACTCCTTTCTTCCCCTTGCCATGCACCACTCCTTTCTTCCCCTTGCCGTGCCCCACTCCTTTCTTCCCCTTGCCATGCCCCACTCCTTTCTTCCCCTTGCCGTACCCCACTCCTTTCTTCCCCTTGCCGTGCCCCACTCCTTTCTTCCCCTTGCCGTGCCCCACTCCTTTCTTCCCCTTGCCGTGCCCCACTCCTTTCTTCCCCTTGCCGTGCACCACTCCTTTCTTCCCCTTGCCGTGCACCACTCCTTTCTTCCCCTTGCCATGCCCCACTCCTTTCTTCCCCTTGCCGTGCCCCACTCCTTTCTTCCCCTTGCCGTGCCCCACTCCTTTCTTCCCCTTGCCGTGCACCACTCCTTTCTTCCCCTTGCCGTGCCCCACTCCTTTCTTCCCCTTGCCGTGCCCCACTCCTTTCTTCTCCTTGAACCCTCTTCAGACCACCTGTGGGTCGCCAAGGAGGGAGTGGCCCCCGGACCGGCCTCTGGACGCGGGGGTCATCCCTTGCCTCATACATTCCTATCTTTCCCCCACCATGCCCATCGCTCCTTCATTTCTGCTTTCCAGGCCACCCGTGGGTCGCTCAGGATGGAGTGGCACCCGACCGGCCTCTGGACGCGGGGGTCATATCTCGCCTCAAGCAATTCTCTGCGATGAACAAACTAAAAAAAATGGCTCTGCGGGTGAGTGCGATGAACAGTGCTCTTAGGGTTTCGCCTGGCCTTTAAGTTGTGGCCGCTGGCATCTTATCTCGCCTCAAGCAATTCTCAGCGCTGAACAAGGTTAAAAAAAATGGCTGTGGGGGTGAGTGAAATTGGCATTCACACGTTGACAGTGAAACTGGTCTTCGTTTAAAGTGGCTAGAGTTGTTGGTTCAGTTGGTGTGAATGAGTGGCTCCTGTCCAGGGTGTGAATGAGTGGCTCCTGTCCAGGGTGTGAATAAGTGGCTCCTGTCCAGGGTGTGAATGAGTGGCTCCTGTCCAGGGTGTGAATGAGTGGCTCCTGTCCAGGGTGTGAATGAGTGGCTCCTGTCCAGGGTGTGAATGAGTGACTTATGAGTTTGACTCAACAGCCACCGTGGGCGGGAGTTTGTCTCGCCTCAAAGTATTCCGCACGGTGGGTACAAGAACTGACTAATTGACACGGCGATTGAACTTAAAAGACAAACACTACTTTCCTTGTGCAGCTGGAGCTGAAGCCGTCTCCCGTCTTGTCATGCACCTCCTTCCTTTTCCTATCCTTCTTCTCTCTTCAAGGGATTTGAGTCAGCTCAATAACCATTCTCCTCCCTTTCTCCCTGCCCCTCACTCCGTCTGCCTTTCTACCCGTTCCTCATTCCACAGGTGATCACCGAGTCTTTATCAGAGGCGGAGATCTTGGGGCTGAAGCAGACGGTTGAGATGATGGACACAGACAGGAGCTGCACCCTCTCTGTCAAGCACCCCCTCTCATCTCCCTACCCGCTCCCCCTTTTCCCATGCACATGCCCTGCCCTCCTCAGGTGATCGCAGAGTCGCTATCAGAGGAGGAGATCTCGGGGCTGAAGCAGACGTTTGAGATGATGGACACGGACAGGAGCGGCACCATCACGTTTGAGGAGCTCAAGGCGGGGCTGCAGCGCATCGGAGCCAACATGAAGGACAGCGAGGTGCAGGAGCTCATGGACGCGGTGAGTGCTGTCTGTAGTTGGAAAGGAGGGGGAAAGTGGAGGATGGGCGTGGGCATTAAGGACAGTGAGGTGCAGGAGCTGATGGACGCTGGGAATCTCTTTTGCCGGGAAGACTTGAGAGGGAGGGCTTTTTTTTCTTTCTTTTTGTTCTTTCTTTTGTTCGTTTTGTTTTTCTTTTTTCTTTTTCGTGCCGTGATGAGTTTCCTTTCTTTTTCTCTTGTCCATTACGGGCCGAATCTGACGATGCCAACATGATTGCATGTGGAGAGATTTTAGCGGCCACCATGCATTTGAGCGAGATAGAGTGTGTGAGAAGAGTAAAGAAAAGGCTCTATTCAATCCCTTCTATCGTATTTCTCCCTTTTTCTCCTCCCTGACAGGCCGACTTTGATGGCAACGGGATGATCGACTATGGGGAGTTTCTAGCGGCCACGATGCATTTGAACAAGATCGAGCGCGAGGATATTCAAGAGGAGACTCTATGGAACCCATACTCACATTTCTCCCTTCCACTTCTCCCTGCCAGGCTGACTTTGACGGCAATGGCATGATCGACTATGGGGAGTTTCTAGCGGCCACGATGCATTTGAACAAGATCGAGCGCGAGGAGACGCTGTTTGCGGCGTTTTCACACTTTGACAAGGACAGCTCGGGATTCATTACAGTGGATGAGCTGCAGCATGCTTGTAGGGAGTACAGCATCGATGAGGACTGCATTGTGGAGACGATGCGTGACGTCGACACTAACAACGTAAGCACTACTAATGGAAGCACCATCGATGTAAGCTCCAACAGTCCAACCTCGAACAATGAATGCACTTTCGTCACTTGTTTGCACTTACGTCACTTGTTTGCACTTTCGTCACTTGTATGCACTAATACACAGCCCGATCATGCACTTTTTGCGAACTTCTTTTGCACTTATGCTTTGGCTGCCGCGTCTGGAGCAGGATGGGCAGATTGACTACAACGAATTTGTGACAATGATGAGGGCTGGGAATGGTGGCATTGGTCGGAAAAGCTTGGGCGGTAGCTGGACCAGCGGGAAGCTTCTGAGAGACTTGGTGGAAGCTGCACGGCAGCAGCAACAACAGCAGCAGCAACAACCAGAACCCATGGTGTCTTAAGCAGTGTATGTTGACTCATGTGTCATGAGTATGACTTATAAGATGTGGTTATACTGCTGGTTGCTGTGTTGTGGACCGATGGATGACTGGGTGAGGTGAAAGCGCCCTGTTGTTGCATATGGCATGAGCTCGTGCATTAAACAAGCATGAGCACTACGAGCTCAAGAGCAATGTCTGGTGCTTGAGGTGTCGATAACCGTGTCGTGTTTATGCATCTTGGTAAGCAATGCTAATGATGAAATCGTGAAATACATTCTGGATGCGGAGTGATATATTGTGACACGACTCTCCTAGGAGTGTGCAGTGCAGTCGTCAGTCGTCATAGTATTTCAAATCTCAGTCATACAACACACTCGAATTGGTAATACAAATAAGAACAAACGAATGTCATGAGGTAAATGTTACTAGAAAGGGCTTGGGTAGGGTGGGAAGCAAATCAAGATCTGAAAATGAGAATGAGACTAGGTGGCAGGTCCCTCGGACCTGTCAGAATGTTAAGGAGCTTGTCTCTTTTACAGCGAACTCCTCTTCTAGTCGAATCACAATCTTCAAGTTTTTTAAGTATACTTAAAAAAAAAAATACATATTGTGGCACGACTCTCCGAGGAGTGTGCAGTGCAGATGTCATAGGAGAACGAGACATCACATTGGTGGGCGGTGACGATGGCGAGCGAGTGCCGATACGTAACGACGGGTCGAGCTAGTTCGCGTCGGATCCTGAAGGGTACGCGAGGCCGCCACCAACTCGCGGTCGAGCTGCGTGATATACATCTCCCGAACCTTCTCACTACGCCATCGTCCGAGGGCCTTAAACAGTCGATCCGGCACACCAACATCGACAGCCACGGTGGCGGCCGGTTTGCGGAATGAATGTGTTCCAAGTGAACTCTGGTCGAGGCCGACGCAACAAAATGCTTCGCGGCACCAGCCCCTGACCGTGGCGTATGACGGGGATCGATCAGAGAGGGAAGCGCGCGCGGTAGGTGGAAACACCCGAATAAGGGGGCCCTTGGTCTGTGAGGAAAATCCGGCAAGAAAGAGGAACTGTTGCATGCGGGAGACCGGGCAGTGGCGAGCGGAAGACGCAGCAACTGGGACCCATGCGCCTGTGCCGGTCTGATCCGTTTTTTAGCGGGGAATAAAGAGCCACATGCAGTCGCTGTCGAATTCGATGTGGTGCCATTGAAGGGCAATCAGATCAGAGAAGCGCAAAAATGCTGCAAACATAAGAAGGGGAATGAGGCCGCGTTGGAATGTCGCGGGGTCAGTGGACGAGAAGTAGATGTCGCAGATGTCATAGATCTTGGCGGGAGGTATCGGTTCCTTTGCCGCAGTGGCGTTGCGCATACTCCTGCACTTGTGAGGAAAGTGGTCCTCGAATAGGAGACGGCGAGCCGACCAACCAGTGGGCACATGAGATAGTGGAGCAGGCGGATCGCACGGCCGAGATGCTGGCACCTTTGCGAACTGAGTGTAGTAAGAAAAGTGCAGTCGTCAGGTCAGTGGCAGGGAGGAATGATAGTGAATGCTCGTTACAAAAGGTGCGATATGTCAGAACTTATAGCTTACTTGTTTCTGTAGGCTATAGTGGGGTATCCCATAGGGGGTACAACCCAATTAGGGTTTCCTATTTGTACTCACTTCGTTCATAGTCATTTCATTCTCGTTCTTTGTTTCCACATGGAATCAGAGCAGGTTCCCTCCTAGGGACTGCTTCTAGGGCCCACCGAACCGCGCCCCGAGGCGCGTTTTTTTTTAGCGACCCGTCGTGTCGCCCCTAGCGGACCGTTGCGCCGCCCTTCCCCTCGCGGCTCTGCCGCCCTTCCCTAGCGGCCCCGCCGCCCTTCGATCGCGGCCCCGCCGCCCTCTGCTACGCGGCCCCGCCGCCGCCCTTCGATCGCGGCCCCGCAGCCCTCGGCTACGCGGCCCCGCCGCCCTCTGCCTCGCGGCCCCGCCGCCCTCTGCTACGCGGCCCCGCCGCCCTCTGCTACGCGGCCCCGCCGCCCTCTGCTACGCGGCCCCGCCGCCCTTCGATCGCGGCCCCGCCGCCCTTTGCCACGCGGCCCCGCCGCCCTCTACTACGCGGCCCCGCCGCCCTCTGCTACGCGGCCCCGCCGCCCTTCGATCGCGGCCCCGCCGCCCTCTGCTACGCGGCCTCGCCGCCCTCTGCTACGCGGCCCCGCCGCCCCCTGCTACGCGGCCCCGCCGCTCTCTTCGGTCGCGGCCCCGCCGCCCTCTGCTACGCGGCCCCGCCGCCCTCTGCTACGCGGCCCCGCCGCCCTCTGCTACGCGGCCCCGCCGCCCTCTGCTACGCGGCCCCGCCGCTCTCTTCGGTCGCGGCCCCGCCGCCACTCTGCTACGCGGCCCCGCCGATCCGCCCAGCAGCAGCCGCCGCCGCCTGAGCCGCCGCCGAGCCGCCGCCGAGCCGTCGCCGAGCCGCCGCCGAGCCGCCGCCCGAGCCGCCGCCGAGCCGCCAGAGCCGCCGCCGAGCCGCCCGTGACGCCCGAGCCGCCCGCGCCGCCCAGCAGCAGCCGAGCCGCCGCCGAGCCGCCGCCGCCTGAGCCGCCGCCGAGCCGCCGCCGAGCCGCCGCCGAACCGCCGCCGAGCCGCCGCCCGAGCCGCCGCCGAGCCGCCCGCGCCGCCCGAGCCGCCTGCGGAGCCGTACTGCTGTTCCTCTGCTGCTGACCTACCCGCCTCTCCCAGCCCGGTGAGATTTTCAGCTGCTGTCATGGCCACCCCCAATGTTCTTACCTTTGACGCTAAGGGGAGGGCCATTGACTTTGCCGTCTGGATTGAAGACCTGCAGCTGTACTTACTGTGTGATGCGATAGATGAGGTCTCTCTCTTTGACTTTGTCTCTGGCGCTGTCCCTGCCCCACCTGCTGATGCTGACTCTGCCGTTCGCTCCAAGTGGGCGACCCGCGATGCTGCTGCACGTCTTGCTGTGCGTCGCCACCTCCCTTCCTCTGAGCGTGCCCACTTTAGTCAGTGCAAGACCGCTCAGGCCTTGTACGACGCTGTAGTTGCACGCTACTCCTCCCCTTCCTCCGCTACCCTTAGCCGCCTCATGCTACCGTTTCTCTTCCCTGACCTCGCTTCCTTTCCCACTGTCGCTGACCTCGTTACCCACCTCCGTGCTAGTGACACCCGCTACCGCGCTGCCCTTCCTGCTGAGTTCCGCGCTGCGAACCCTCCTCCCATGTACATCACTCTCTACTTTCTCGTCACCCGTCTCCCTGAGTCCCTTCGTGTCGTTAGGGACCAGTTTCTCTCTGTCTGTCCCACCACTCTCACTGTCGACCTCCTTGAGGAGTCCCTGCTAGCGGCTGAGAAGAGTATTGTCGCTGTAGGGGCCTCTCGGGGTGACCCTCGCACCCCTATCTTTGAGGGGTGTGGTCCTTCCCCCCTGCTGCCCTCTGTCGCCTCTGCCGCTGCGGCCGACCTCACTGGTTTTGAGTCGGTCGGCGCGGCGTCTGCCCCCAGCGGCAGACGCCGCGCTGGCAAGGGCAAGGGGGGCAAGGGAGCGGGTGGAGCTAGAGGGGGCGGTGGAGGAGGCGGTGGGGGTGGCGGGGGGAGTGGGGGTGGCGGTGGGGGTGGTGGCGGAAGTGGAGGTACTGGTGGCGGCGGTGGAGGCGGAGGTGGCGGCGGAGGTGGTAGCGGAGGAGGCGGTGGGAGCGGTGGGAGCGACGGTCCTGGTGGGGGAGGTGGAGGTGGAGACGGGGGTGGCGGTGGAGGCGGGGGTGGCAGTGGAGGCGGGGGTCGGAGTGGCTCGTCCCAGCGGAGCAGCTCCGGGGGTGGTCAGCGCCAGCAGCAACAGCAGCAGCAGCCGCAGCAGCAGCCACAGCAGCAGCAGCGCTCTCGCACCGTCCCCGCCCCTCAGCAGCTCCGTGAGTGGTACTCGCAGCGTCAGCGCGGTGGTGCGCTTGGTCCTTGCCCCTACGTTCTCCGCACCGGTGACCGTGCAGGGGAGAGGTGTGGAGGCGCCCACACTGCCCGCCGCTGCTTTGGCCGCCTGACTGACGCCTGGCGTCAGCAGTTTCCGGAGGCAGCTGAGATCCCCCGCTGGGGAGAGCTGTCTAGGGCTGGTGTAGCTATTTATGATCTTGATTTTGATGCTATTCTCTCTGCTATGTATGCTGCGATTGGTAGTGATGAGGATGACTGTTACCGGTGTTTCCCGCCCGACCCGGGCATTGGTACTGCCGCGTCAGGTACTAGTGAGGCTGCTGCTCTAGGTGCCAGTGCGTCTGTGCTCTCAGGTGCTGGTGAGTCTGCCCTCTCAGGTACTGTGTCGGCTTCGGCCTCTCACACCTTCACCCTTGACTCTGGAGCGTCTCGCTCCTTCTTTCGGGACCGCACCACTCTCACGCCGCTGAGTCGGCCGGTTGCGGTGTCCCTGGCTGACCCCTCTGGGGGGCCTGTCC